CAACGGCTGCAAATGAATCGTGTGCCACTCGAATTCTCTCTCCCCCACTATTTATACATCTCACTCAGATTTCTCTCCAAATTCACCATTTTCACTCAAATTCCTCATTCTTCTTCCAATATCTCTCTCTCTCTCTCTCTCTCTGAAACAATGTTTTCTCTCTCTAGAATGCAAGGGGCTAGTCTTGGGGCAGCCTTGGGCTTGGGCTTGAACTCATCATCTTCTTCCTCTTCCTCTGCTATGAGTGTTGTGGTTCCGAAAAGGCGAGGCGGCGCGCTGGTGGTCTCGGCCGCGATGAGCGGTGATTTGGCGCTGACAGGGGTGGTGTTTCAGCCATTTGAGGAGGTGAAGAAGGAGGATCTGATGGTCCCAATCGCTCCCCAGATTTCGCTTGCTCGCCAAAGGTTTGCGGAGGATTGTGAAGCTGCGATCAATGAACAGATCAAGTGAGCTCTGTTTTCGATCTCCGTTTTTAATTGAATTCTCCTTAGTTCTCTCTTTTCCTCAGATCTTGCTGTTTTATTGGAATAAAATAAAATAAATTAATTATTTCACGGAAATATCGATTTACTAAAAAATAAACTAGTGCAAAATATATTATAAATGAAACCACAAAGAATAGTCATTCTATGAAATCATTCTATTTTATTTTATTGAATCAAATATTAAGGCTTTATTTCGCAATTCTTAGTTTTAGTCTAAAAATAAAAGAAGTTATTAAAAAAGGCATAAAAATAACAAACTACACAAAAAAATAAAATAAAATAAAAAATTCAAATATTTTCTTTTTTCTGAGAAGTTATTGGTCCGTCTTGGAGCACCACCAGGTGGCGTCTCAAGTGTGTTGTGATTGGTAGAGAATGCGAGATCTAGGATTTTGTATTAGGTGATTGTGAAACAAGAGGGCATGGCATATTGTGATCGGTGAGGATCACCGCCACGTGGTGCCTAATGAGCACTAAATAATTTTTCTTTTTTCTTTCTATTTTTTGCATATTTTTTGGTAAAAAAACAACGGTTAAATAGTGCATATTAATGTGTATTTGGAAGGGAAAAAATTAGGTACACACCTAATTTTTGATGTAGTACACAAAGTGGTTGGTTCGAGATTTAAATCCATAACCTCAAGGTTATTAGGTCAAAATTTTTACATATTTTTTTGTAAAAAATCAAAAAATCATTCTAAACATACTAGTTTTTTTATATTATACTTTAGTGAAAAAGTCAAAAAATTATTAAAATAACTTATTTTCAAATGAGGCCTAAATAAGAGTGTTTGGGAAGTGACTAAAGTAACTACAAAAAGTTAACTCACTCTCTTTATTTTTTTTACACATTTAAAAAAAATTATTGAAAAAGTTAATTACCAAACACACCCGTTAATCTTTATCATTTTGCTAAGAAGAACCAACACTCTAAGATGAGTGTTGTGTCTGACACGTCAAAGAAACACGTGTCTCGACGTACCATGTGCCATGTCAAATTTATAATTATTATTTTTTTTGTAGAATACGTTAGGACACTTCATGTACATGCGTCTCCAGTGTTTAGCCATGTCCCAATACCTTTATATAATTTTAGAAAGATAATTTGAGGTCAAACTATATATAAAAAGAAAAAAAAGAAAGAAAGAGTAAAAAATAAAATAAAAACACACACATATATTAATCTCATATCTATGTATCTTCATATACATAATAAACAAAAATATATATATATATATAGATATATATATTTTGTCCCTTATCAATACCATTGTCTATGTCTATATTCGTGTCCGTACTTCTTAGGTGAATTCCATCTATTATTACTTTTCGTATATAGTTTGTGTGGAGAGTGTCTTATACTCTGTATTTACCTACATTTGTTTTCAAAATTTTGTATAGGAAACATTATGATACACACCCTTAAATATGCACCTTATAACTAAAGAAGAAAATGACATAATTTTATACTTTCTAAGTTATAACTAAAGACAAAATGAGGCATATAATTAAAGATCTCATGAGTCATAATTAAAATAATGTCACAATTAAAGGAAAAAAATTGGTCATAACTAAAGAAGAAAATAGTATAACTAGGGGGCATATAGTACACCTTTCAAGGGGTGTGTATATTAGAATTTTCCATTTTGTATACATGAAAAAGGCAGGCTCAGTCTGCATTCCAAAATTTCTCTGCTTAGAAAATTTATTTATTATCTTCTTATTTTGTTTTTGGGTTTCTAACAATTCTATCTTTGTCATCACAGTGTGGAATATAATGTGTCCTATGTGTATCACTCCATGTTCGCCTACTTCGACAGGGACAATGTTGCTCTTAAGGGTCTTGCCAAGTAACAAATCTACAAAATCCTCATTTTTTTTTCTTTTTTCTTTTTTAAGCATTGTATTTTTGTTATTTGTACAACTTATTACTTAAATATATGATCTTGTTACATTCAGATTTTTCAAGGAGTCAAGTGAAGAAGAAAGGGAACACGCTGAAAAGTTCATGAAATACCAGGTGTTTGTCTAATATCATGTGTTTCCTTCTCATTTTTCCTTTATAGTCAAATCATCTAAAAAAAATTCTAATTACTTGTATAACACTGTTACTTCTTTTGATTAAAATTAGAACAAACGTGGAGGAAGAGTGAAACTACACTCTATATTGCTGCCCCTTTCCGAATTTGATCATGTTGAGAAGGGTGATGCATTGTTTGGTAAGTAGCCATTTCTTTTACACGTTGTACGGCAATGTCTGTTACATATTCACAAAATGCTTGTGCATTCGTGTCATTGTGTGTATCATTTAAGCCTTAAAATGATCATGTCCAAATTGCTTCAAGGGTCATGTTGTTATTTAGTTCTAAACAGTGATTACTATAATATCCTGTGTAAGCAACTCTTGTCGTCTGTGATTTGATGATTTCAGCAATGGAACTGGCTTTGTCCTTGGAGAAGTTAACGAATGAGAAACTGCTGAGCTTGCATGCTGTAAGATATCCTTCACTCCCTATGTCTAGTTTTCTTATTTTGAATTCATTCTCTTGAATTTTATTTATTTATTTATTTTTTAGGTATTTAGTGTGACAAAACATTTGCTCAAATATAACTCATGGTGTATGAGTTTAAAACGTTGGTTCGTGACATGACACTAAGACTAATCACCTTGCATGCTCTGTTCTTGACAACAGGTGGCCGATCGAAACAATGATCCTCAAATGTGCGAGTTTATTGAGAGTGAATTTTTAACCGAGCAGGTCAGTTAAGAACTTCATCTTTTACTTTGTTTTAGATAAATGCCTATTTCTGTTCTTCTTTGTATCTAAATGACCATTTTTCCATGGTTCATTAGAAGACATGTTCTAACATATTTTCATGCATAGAATTCAATGAAAGATGCCATTTAATTTATCTGCTCATTGCTTATTATCTTTGACAAGTGACTAGGGGTAAAAGAAATCACTCATCTAAAGCAACAATTTGACTATCATATATACTTCAATATTAGTATTGTTTCTGTTTTATGTTTTCTTGTTTGAAATTTTTCTCCAAAAATTGTTTTCTGAAAAAATTTCTAAAACATATTCTCCAAAAACTGTTTTCTTGTGTAAGTTTTATAATATCATTTGATTCCTCCCAACCCCCTTCTTATTTCCTTTGCCAGGTTGAAGCTATAAAGAAAATCGCGGAATATGTTACTCAGTTGCGGATGGTTGGGAAAGGACACGGTATAAAACAAGTTTCATTGTCACCGTTCATTATCAGCTTCTCTTTCTTTTTGTTCTTTGTTTTTGCTTTTTTAATCTCTATCAAAATTTCGATCTGTTGTTGCCATTGTCTTCTTTCCCCATGATCTTATGTGTTTGTTTTTTTGTTTTTTGGGCACATGCAGGGGTGTGGCACTTCGATCAGATGCTCCTACATGAGGGTGATGGTGTGTTTTGAAGATTTCTACTGTAATTTTCATTTTTGTCTAAAAATTGTATCCTTTTCTCTTAAGGTGTTGTCAGTAAGTTTGTGTTTTAGTGCTTAGATGAAGACACAATCAGCTCAGCTCGAACTCAAAAATAATAAACTTAGTTATTAGTGGAAAATACAATAAAATGTAATATCAGACTATTAGTTAAGACCTTATTTTTATGGAGTATAAGTGGCTTCTAATCTTTCCTTTTTCTAGAAGCCTCATGGTAATTTCTTCGATTTTTTTATTGTTTTATTTTTTTATTTTTTTGTCCTGCTACATCTTTTGATGATATACTTGAAACTCACATCCACTCTACTATATCAAGGATTCACAAAATACTTGGGTGGAAGATACTAACCCTGTTTGATTTTGAATTTTCAAAAATAATTTTTTTAGTTTTAAATTCGTTTTTTTAATTTTTTTTAAACATTTTATTTTTTTTTAATTTTCAGGTTCATTTAATCTTAATACACTTAAAAAATAAAATAAAAAATTGTACAAAAATTTTTAAAAATTCATTGAATACAATAAAATATAAAAATATGTGAAATTTTTTTACTTTTTTATTTAGTAAATTTAAAAAAAAAAATTCACAAATATATTATACTTCTTAAACTTATTTAGATTAGATATATCTAAAAAATAAAATAAAATATAAAAATATATGAAATTTTTATACTTTTTTATTTCGTAAATTTAAAAAAAAATTCACAAATATATTATACTTCTTAAACTTATTTAGATTAGATAATCTAAAAAATAAAAAAATTATGTAAAATATTTAAAAAAAAAATTCACTAAAAAAAAAACTTAATTTTTTTGAAAAGTAGACTTAATTATCTGGGATATGTCAATAAACAAAAATTTAAAAAAAAAAAAAAAAAATCCCCCGTGAGGAACACTATATTGATGAAGCAATTTTGCAAGTCACTCTGAAAATTGTCACCAAAGAGGAATATTAAATACCTATACTTGCCAAATTAAGTATTAGCTTACATGAACCACACAAATTTAGATCGAGTTGAAGTATACAGAACCATATGAGCCTGTTGGATCAAAATGATGTATCAGAGAAATCTATAATCTTCAAAAAGATGTATCAGAGAATTTTGTACACTGCTGCAAATTAAATCCAAAAAAAGTGACACAAAACACAATGTGTATCAAAACTATCCAAAACCTGTTTTTTTTTTTTTCTTTTTCAAAAGGGTAGACAATATTTACGTTGGCTTGAAACATAATAATAATCTCCATTGAGAAGCCCTCTTGCTATTTCTGTTTTTACGACCAATAGGTGGGTGCGAAGAGTGAATCATCTCCCACATCACTTGTATGTCTGCATATCCTTCACAAGCTTCCATGTCCTTGTAAAGACTAACCAATCCATGCCCATTCCCTGCCATTAGCACACCATGTATGTCGGAGGGAGAGTATTAGACTAACATTAAACTAACTTTTCAAAGTAAAATTACTTAAATGTGTGATTTCAAATTTTAAGCTATATAAGCTATAAACAAAACTTTTTCGGGATGTCAGAAAGAAGAGAAAGAGCAAATTAATTTTTTTAATATTAAAAATCTTACCTTGGGCCTCGTATGTGAGGCATGAATTGTCCTTAACAAACATGCTCTTTATTGGCAAGCGAAGTGATTTCTTGAAGTTGAAACTCATCATCCACCCCTTCCATCTTTCCATCTCCACATAGCTCCTTCACAACCTTCCCTTCTATACACATAAAAATATATATATTTGTATATAAATATGTATATATTCTCATTCCCAACCTCCCTCCACTAATAAACTAATGCTGCAATGCTAAACACCAAAAAGCATCCTACTTAGCAGAGAGCAACATCCATGAAGACAGAAAGCCTTCTTTGTACTAAAATATATAAACTTTTGCAACCATTTACCCTTTGGTTAAACTACAATGCCAACAATGTCCTCTCAAAATGACAAAACACAACAATGCCATGAACACCACCAAAAAAAAATTGCAGAAAAAATGAAATAGGTTGGCGCAATTTCAACTTGGGTAGGATCCACATCATATCAAATTTGAATCTAAACCATACATTTCATTTTCTCTGCATTTTTTTTTTTTAGTGTTAGTAACTTTTCTAAATGAAGTACATACAAGTCCTATCCAATCAAAGATCAGTTTTTTTGTTTTTTTTAAATAGAAATTAAAAATTCACACGAACTAAATCTCAAGGTTGTGTTTGAATTTTAGAATTTAAATAAGGATTTGTAGAGGAAAAAAAGTGACAAATTTAGCTTATATTTTTGTCACTTACAAAATTCAAACACAACCTAAGCGTCTGACACATAACTTAGACCTACGCTACAAAAAAAAATTCTATTAGATTAATTTCCTTTTACAAGGACATATTTGTCATATGGAAAAATAGTAGGGACTCTAGAATTATTTAAGGAAAACTAACATAGTGATGAGAGAGAGAGTAGAAGGAGCGTATTGAGAACAAATGGAGATTATTGATTAGGCAGAGTAGCTTTGGACTGTGCTTTTCCCACTTATGCCTCCTACCAAAGATTCTCATTTCCATTGCATCCAAGGGAGGTTGTGATGGGCCCACTGGTCAAACGGTTGGTTGGCTTTTCTTTCAGTGCCTTGTGATTGTGTTGATTGTGTGTGCACCTCTCTCACTCTCACTCTCACTCCTTCACACATAGATAGTCCACCCATGATGTAAGTTTGTTTAAGCTAATTTTTTGTCAAGTTAGAGATATTAAGTAGTAGATAAGCATTATAACTAAAAGATCAGCACTAAATTTAATCCCATCCAAGATAGATATAATTGTTGAGCTATGAGAGATATCTTGAAAACATGGGATTCCAAAGTCCCTCTGTTCTCCTGTCCTGTCCCAAAATACCCACAATTATAAGATCATATCACAAAATTCTTACATCTCGAAATTAGGATTCTTGAACTATCTTGAAATCATTTTGAATGCTTGCTTAATCTTCTCCTTTGTCAATACACTGCACTGCCCAGTAGTGTAGAAGATTTAAGCATGTGCTCTGAAACTACATTTTGTAATGTGGTCACCAACTGCTTCATTTGATGCCTCACCAAACTCTCTCACTCTCCTCTACCATTTGTGAGTTGCACATTACAAGGGCACTTTCAAATTGTTGATAAATCCATGTTCAAAGTGCATTATCGAAAGAGTTAAATTCCCTCTCTCAAGAATTTTTCTTTTTTTTTGGGGGGTATTGATTTGGATGAGGATGAGAAGCCAAAAAGTTTCTCCATTTGGATCGTGAAAAGAAAAGAAATTATTGTGTCACTATCATGTAGTTTGAATGATTAAAAAATTAAATAATGTAATAGAGGAACATGAGTATTTATTTTTATTTTTTTCTCTTTGCATTTTAACCAATCAATTTATTTCTTAGCAAATCTAACCAAAAGTGGTGAGAAATGCAATGGACTTAATAAAAGAGTTAATTTTCTCACTATTTCTCACCCAAATTATAAAATCATGAGAAAAGGGTTTTCTTTCCCATCCAAAGTGATTGTAAATTGGGAATAGCCCTAAAGTCAGTGAAAAAGGAGAGAGATGGATTTACCTGGTGGAAAAATCCCTCTAGTCGTGGCAATTGTGAAAGGCAGAGACACTCCTGCTCCTCAAGCTGTCATTGTACAGGAGGAGGTTGTGGTGAGGGTGTTGGGGATAGGATTTGGTAGGACACAAAACAAGGAGGATGCGTCTCCGTCAACAAGGGTAGGGGGACAACGGGGGTATTCTCATTCTCATTGTGATCATTATCATAATCATTGTGGGTAATGGTGGTAGGAGTGAGGCAGAGATAGTCAGGGAGAGATTGAGGAGGAATGACGGCGCCGTAATCGTGGGGAAAATGGTGGATGAAGCAACACTCGTGCAGGGTCTCCGTCTGGTCTGCTTGGATTAGACGAAGAATAGCATGTTGTTGTTGTTGTTGAGGTTGAGGTTGAAGAGATTGTATTGGGTAGCAGATGACTTCTTCTTGGAGGAGGAGGATTGAAGTGTATGGATCCTCATCCTCCACCTCCACCTCCACCTCCACCTCCATGTTGCTGTTGATTTTGATTTGAGAACTGCTAATGTTGTGTTTAGTTAGAGGACTTGAACAGGGGTTTGAAAAAAAAAATTGTTGCGTTTGGATGGAAGATTTGAAAAAGAAAATGAAAATAATAGGCAAAATGTGAAAAAAATATATTTAAATTTTACATAGTTTTATACATTTTTTTTTTCTTTCTAAATTCCTCTCTAAATTCTCCAACCAAACATAGCATAAAAGACTGGAGCTAGGATTTTGGTCCGTCGACTTACTGTATCTTTAACAGCTTCTCTCCCCCTTCGCAAATATCATTAACACCTGACCTCATCCCGTTCGTTTTCGGAACTTGAATGGAGAGAATTCACAGAGTGAAAGGGATTGATAGAAAGAATTAAATAAAATTAGGATTGATTGAAAGAATTAAATAAAAGAATAAAGGTTGAGACTCCCTTTGAGGGTCACCCTCTTGACTCTTTTAGTTTTGATTGGTCAATTTTTTTTTTTTTCTTCTCACCCAATCCCCAACCTCTATGTGTGTGAGAGGGTTGTGGGGTGAGTGTTTTAAAGGGATCTAAATAAATGCCCTAAATAAAATTATGTTTATTTTAATGATAATGCTTAGGGTAAGAATTATTAAATTATTTTTATATAAAATATATATAAAATAATTAAATAAATAAATAAATACAAAATTATTAAACATTAATGTTTTAAAAAAATACCTAACATGTAAAAAATTTTAAAAAAATAAAAAAAAAATTTAAAAATAAAACAAATAAAATAATGATTTTTACTTAACAAAAAATATTAAAAAATTAAACATTAATGTTAAAAAAAATGCCCAATATGTAAAAAATAAAATAAAAAAAATAAAAAATTTCTAATCCGACAGACTATTTTTCTAATACCAAGTCTTAGAGGCTCATTCGAATCCCCTCTCCAAGGGGATTCATAATCCGGAACTCACATCAATCCTTTCCCCATCTCTCAAAACAAACACAATGTTAATAGGTCTCACTTTACTATCAATCCCAATCTCCCCTCTAACTCTCCAAACAAACAGGACCTTAGATCCATTTTATTTCTGATAATTCTACCGTACACCACTCATTCCATACCATACCATACCATACCATATGCACTTTACGTCAATTTTTTTTTCTTTAATTATAACTCAAAAAGTATGAAATTATACCATTTTTTCTTTAATTATAAAATACATATGATAGATGTCTTTTGAGGGGTATATATCATAATTTTTCCTTTCTATTTTATTTTTTTAATCAATCCCATGTTTAGTAATGAGTTGAAAATTGAATACAAAGTTGAATTTTGTTTTATTGTTTGATTGTCAATATGAAATGGTATGAGATTATGATAATAATTTTTATTCTTATATTTGGTTATGCCTTTAAATTAATAAAAATAGATTTTTTTTTTTTTTTCAACAACTTAAAAATTCAAATAGCTCATGATAGTTATGAAAGGGGTGGGATTGATGGTGGCATCAGTGGTTGTTATAATAGTGGTAGTAAGATGGTGGTGGTAGTAAGCTAGTTTGTGGTGGTTGTGACAACCATAGTGGTATGATAGTAGAATAGTGGTGGTAGCAAAACAGAATGATAGTTATAGCTAATTGATAATGTTTTATGATAATTTTATGATGAAATGAAATGACTATTTCTTATGTACAGAATAAGAAATATGCATTTACACATTTTATCACTTGAATAAGACATACCAAACATGAGATAGGAAATACAAAGCTCAAATGACCATTCTATTTCAACTCATTTAGGGCAGGTGCTTTACATCTTCCCAAGCTCTCCCTCTCTCTAAAACTTGCAAAAGGTCTTTTTTGTTGAGGGAATGCAAAATGAGGTGTAAATTATGTAAAGGGCATTGATTAATAAACAAATAAATAGAGAACTATTTGCAAAAAATACACTCCATAAGCCTAGAGAATTTTCAGGTAATTGAAAATAGTATGCACCCAAACAAAAGAACTTGACAGCAATCAAGCAACAGGCAACCAGTTTTCAGGCAGAAAATTCTGATGTTATTCTGGTGATCCTCCATCAAGAACCAGAAATGAATGATACAATGCCTAGCTGAGAAGTGACTATCAAAATATGAAACTCAGACCAAACTCAAATCCCGTAGAACTGGCTTTTTCAAAATTCTATTGACATTGGACACGTACCATAAAGCCAAATTGTTCTGCATAAAATCTTAACAGTAACCAACATAATCACAACAAATAAATAATCTCAAGAAATATGGCAAAAGACCAACATTGTTCAATTACTAAATCACCCAACAGAGTCTAACAAAATCTGCAGCAACAAAATTTAGTTTGATATTGAACTAAGAAATAAAAAGGACAACGCAAGTTTCTATCATAAACCCTGACATAGTAAAATGGTGCCCACAACAAATCTTGATTCATAAAATTCAAGCAGCTGCACCTGCTTGGGCAGCAAGCCTCTTCCTAGCCTCCTCAATGATAGACAATTTGATACCCTTGCCCTTGGGAAGAGACACCCATGGCTTTGTACCTTTTCCAATGGTGAACACGTTGCCCATACGAGTAGCAAACTCATGACCAGTGGCATCCTGAACATGAATGGTGTCAAAGTTTCCCTTATGCTTCTCCCTGTTCTTGATCACACCAACACGGCCCCTATTCCTTCCTCCAGTCACCATAACAACATTCCCAACATCAAACTTGATAAAATCAGTGATCATGTTTGTCTCCAGGTCAAGTTTGATTGTGCCGTTGGCCTTGATAAGGGGATCAGGGTAGCGAATAGTCCGCCCATCATAAGTGTTGATGTATGGGATACCTTTCTGCCCAAACTGTAAGGAGCGAACTTTGCAAAGCTTGAACTACAGAGAAGACCAATTCCAATGTATCAGACAACACATTCAACAAGAATGATAGATGGCATAAAGTCAATGGTTATATGTATAATTCACAGCAATTATTTACCAGGCATATACATAAATAAGACAACGCAAAAAGCCCCATGCTTAATAGGTCCAAAAAAGAATTTCTCCACAAAGAAAAGACACAAATCAGTGCAAGTAATCTAGAGCATTTAATCAGATCTGTGTATTTTACAGCAACATGACAGCATAATTTTCATCAAATATACAAAAACAGACAATCCAATTTTACACATGTTCATTTTAACTCCACAAGATTTCCATCAAACATAAGTTACAAGTTACAAAAAGAAATCATCCAAAATCAGGACAGCTGTTGTTCCAGCTTACAAGTGCCACAGATACTCACAATCTCCCATTGACAAAAGTAACTATTCAACATGGAAAGTAATACAAAGCTTGCTTTCAAATTGAAAAATAAGTATAAAAATTCAACAAAAGGACGAACCTTAGCCTCTTCATCTCTGATGGAATGGATGTTGGAAATGGTTATAAAATTCTGGGTAAAACCAGAATTGTTTCCTAAGTTTGGTCTATTTTTTAGGTAGGCCCCGTGCGTCGATTTTCACGGTCAAAATGGTAACGCGTTCTATGCCGCTTTGTGATTCACGTGGTATATTTGGTTGTTTAAAACCATTACCGAGTAAATGGGAAATTGAAGCCAAAGTGTGCTCCATGAAAATGGAGTTTTGGTGGAAAACCCTTAAAGGTTTGAATAAGGCTTGTCCCATATTGATTTGGTGGGAAGTTTTGAATGGGTTTATAAGGCATGAGTTTGGTACTTAGGGTGTGCCCCAAGGGGTACCCAAGTGTTTTAGAGGCAGAGGTTATGGGCAAAATGGGCTAGACCCATTGGATTCAAAAATCACCACATGCGCGCGGGTGTGTGGTGTAAGGTTGGGTTGGGCTTGTCCGGCCCAATACTAATCTTTTTTGGTCAAAAATATTTGAATTTAATTTCATTTTTGGTAAAATAAAATTAAGTGGTTTGGTTTTTCTGTACATCCAAACAGGGCCCTTCCCGTATTAAACCGGAAATAATCTGATCCAGACTTAAAGGTTTGAATAAGGCTTGTCCCATATTGATTTGGTGGGAAGTTTTGAATGGGTTTATAAGGCATGAGTTTGGTACTTAGGGTGTGCCCCAAGGGGTACCCAAGTGTTTTAGAGGGAGAGGTTATGGGCAAAATGGGCTAGACCCATTGGATTCAAAAATCACCACATGCGCGCCGCCGTCTGGTTGGGCTTGGGCGCGGGTGTGTGGTGTAAGGTTGGGTTGGGCTTGTCCGGCCCAATACTAATCTTTTTTGGTTAAAAATATTTGAATTTAATTTCATTTTTGGTAAAATAAAATTAAGTGGTTTGATTTTTCTATACATCCAAACAGGGCCCTTCCCGTATTAAACCGGAAATAATCTGATCCAGATTTACTGTACACCCAAACAAGGCCCTTCTCGTTTTTGTTATCTGTTTGAATTGTAACCCAACAGATTCAAATCTGTTTGATTTCAAAACCAACAGGTTTCATACCTGTTCAATTCAAAACCTAGAGCCACCATTCCATCTATAAATAGGACAGCCCTCATTTGGATTTAGAGAACTCAAATTTTCGTCCTTCATAATTCTGCAAACATCCTCTTCATTTTGCTGCATTATTTTCTTGTCAGAGAGAGTATAAATACTTAGTGTGTTCGTTAGTGCTGCTATTGTTTGTAGTAGATCATTTTATCCTGGGAGATAGACGTCCAAATTCTGAAAGCACCGTGGAGAGGACGAATCTGTCTTAAGGACATAGTGTCAAACACTGGACTTGATCTGATAATTATTTAAAGAAATTAATCAAGTAAGTTGTTTAATTTATTATTGTGTTTTATTTATTTAAATCAGATTTTAATTTTGTTTTTGTAACAAAATAAAATCTGTTTTTATTTTTATTTTTTTATTTCAAGTTTGATTTTTTGTAATCAAACAAATTCTCTCATTTTCTTTATTTCTTAAATATTCTAGTTGTTGTTTTTTACACAATAGAATTTAATATTTTTAAATGTAGTGAACACTGTCCAACAATCTTAAGACAGATCTGTTTTTTTTTTTTTGGTATCTTCATTATATTTAATTTTCTGATTTCATAAAGACATATTCTGGTTGGAAAAACAAATAGTGTTTATGCTATTTGACAGATAGTAGTAATATACTGTCTCTTTTTTTTGACAACTAGTAGTAATATACTGGTGTCATTAACAATTGCAGAATATTAATTGTGTTACAGAAAATTATTGTAATATTTTATTTTTCTAGTTTTAGTAACAAGGGAAATAAAATTATTTTGTTTTATAAATTTATTTTCTGATTTTAGTAACTAGAAAATTAATTTGTGTTTTAATTTTTTCTTATTTTTGTAATCAGCGATTATGGCTACTGCAACTGAAACTGCATCTGGTAGTGGTACTCCTATTGTTACACCAACACCGATCCCTATCCAGAACCATGTTCATGTACCAATCAATCATGGAGAAAAACCAGAAAAGTTTAACGATACTGAGTTTAAGAGATGGTAGCAGAAGATGCTGTTCTATCGTACAACTCTTAATTTGGCCCGGTTTCTCCATGAAGAGGCTCTAGCACTTAAAGAGGGTGAAAGTGATCGACAAGTTGTTGCCGCTGTAGATGCTTGGAAACATTCAGATTTTTTGTGCAGAACCAGAAAAGTTTAACGGTACCGAGTTTAAGAGATGGTAGCAGAAGATGCTGTTCTATCGTACAACTCTTAATTTGGCCCGGTTTCTCCATGAAGAGGCTCTAGCACTTAAAGAGGGTGAAAGTGATCGACAAGTTGTTGCCGCTGTAGATGCTTGGAAACATTCAGATTTTTTGTGCAGAAACTACATCCTCAATGGCCTTGACAACATACTGTATAATGTATATAGTCCTTTGAAGTCAGTAAAAGAATTGTGGGATTCTTTGGAGAAGAAATACAAGACAGAGGATGCCGGCACGAAGAAATTTGTCTTCGGTAAATTTCTGGACTTTGTGATGGTAGACTCCCAAACAGTAATATCTCAAGTTCAAAGTATTCAGATAATTTTGCGTGATATTCATTTAGAAGGTATGTCTCTTAGCGAGTCTTTCCAAGTCGCTGCTTTAGTGGAAAAGTTACCACCGGCTTGGAAAGATTTCAAAAATTATTTAAAACATAAACGCAAAGAGATGACCATGGATGAGTTGATTGTAAGATTAAGAATTGAGGAAGATAACCGAAAGGCTGAAAAGAGGAATGGGAAAAATCCCATTGAGTCCAGGGCTAATGTGGTTGAACAAGTTCATAAACCACATAACAAAAAGAGGAAGTTTACTGGAGATGGTCCTAAACAAGGCGACAACAATAGCAATAAGAAGTTCAAAGAAAAATGCTATAACTGTGGCAAGACTGGACATCGAGCTTCTGACTGCCGCCGCCCTAAGAAGGATCATGGAAGTACAAGCAAGAAGACCACCAATCAAGCCAATGTAACTGAATTAGATTACATCTTTGACGGAGTGAATGACATCAACCTCTCTGCTGTGGTGTTTGAGGCTAACTTGGTTGGAAATCCCAAAGAGTGGTGGGTTGACACTGGAGCAACTCGTCACATATGTGCGGACAAGAAGATGTTCACTACCTACAATAAGGCTGCAAATGGTGAACAACTTTTTATGGAAAATTCTTCTACTTCTACTATGGCTGGACAAGGGAAAGTGATCTTGAAGATGACATCAGGGAAAGAACTGACCCTTAACAACGTATTGCATGTACCTGACATCCGGAAGAATTTAGTTTCTGGGTCTTTGTTAAGTAAAAATGGTTTTAGGCTTGTATTTGAGTCTGATAAATTTGTATTAACAAAGAGTGGTATGTATGTTGGTAAAGGATACATGAGTGATGGTCTCTTTAAGTTGAATGTAATGACAGTTGTACCGAAAGTTGCTATGAATAAGAATAACACATCTTTACTTATATTCTTGAGTCAAATTTATGGCATGGTAGATTAGGACATGTGAATTTTGATGCTTTGCGTAGATTAATTGGTTTAGATTATATACCAAAGTTTGAAATTAATCCTAATCATAAATGTGAAATTTGTGTAGAAGCGAAACTAACTAAGGCTCCATTTAAATCGGTTGAAATTAAAACCGAACCTCTAGAATTAATTCACACTGAAATTTGTGATTTAAAGTTTATTCAAACTAGAGGTGGCAAAAAGTATTTCATAACATTTATCGATAA